AGGGTGACATATATACTGAGCTTCAAAAGGCGTGTTTTTACATAAGACTGGTGGAATTGTGGTCTACAAGAGGCATTGCATTGGTGAAAGCATGTAAGCCCCACAGAATGTGGGGGCAGAGAAGAATCAATACCATCCACTAGAGAGGGCTACAGGGGAAGTGAGGTCTTTCTGGGGAAAGCCAGGTGCCAGTCAAAACCAGAGAGTAAAAGAAATCTTCAACAGGCTGGGCGTGGTGGTTCACATCTATAATCCTAGCACTTTCAGAAGTTGAGCCAAGAAGATCACTTGAGCTCAGGAGTTTAAGACCAGCCTAGGTCACATGGTAAGACCCTCCCACCCTCCCCCCAACACCATCTCTACAAAAAATAAAAAATTAGCTGGACATGGTGGTGAGCTTCTGTGGTCTCAGCTATTTGGGAGGGTGAGGTGAGAGGATCCCTGAGAGGCTAAGACTGCAGTAAGCCATGATCATGCTACTGCACTCCAGCCTAGATGACAGTAAGACCCTGTCTCAAAAAGAAAAGACACCTTTGAAACCGCCTTTGCAAAATTATGACCGAGACAGCAAAAGAGATCTAATTTAATCGACTCCATCTTGCTTCTAATCTCCAAGCTGTCCTTTTCATTCTTGGGCAGAGGCCCAACTAACTTTGGGAAAAACTTAGTTTATAGTTTAGAACAAACATGATAACAGCCCTTTCCCAAAGCAGACCTCCTTCTTGCCTACAGAGTAGATTGCATTTGTAGGACTAACATTAGCCATAAGATTAGAACTTATGGCTTAGGAGTCATGCAGCTGGAGGTTACAAGATTCTGACTGTCTCTAAACTGCTCCTAAGATCAGTGCTTGAGATATTTTGCAGACCCTGCACGTGATGAATCAGCTGGCACTACCTAGATTGATAAAATGGCTCATCTGATCTTGTGGCCCCCCCCCACCTAGGAACTGATTGGGTGCAGGAGGACAGCTTTGACTCCCTATGATTTCATCTCTGACCAATCAGCACTCCCGGCTCACTGGCTTTCCCACACCTACTATGTTGTCTTTAAAAATTCTGCTACCCGAATGCTCAGGGAGACTGATTTGAGTAATAATAAAACTCTGGGCTCCCGCACAGCTGGCTCTGTGTGAATTACTCTTTGTCTATTGCAATTCCCCTGTCTTGATGAATCGGCTCTGTCTAGGCAACAGGCAAGGTGAACCCCTTGGACATTTACACCTTCAACAGTGGCGTTTGTCTTGTTTATTGATTTTTTTAGAGGTTATGGTTGGAAGGTTTGGGAGAGAATGGGAAGAGTCCAGGAGAGCACTGAACACAATGGAGATTAAAGTACAGGAGAGGCTGAGCGGTGGCTCACGCCTGTATTCCCAGCACTTTCAGAGGTTGAGGCATGATGATACAGACCTGCAGTCCCAGCTACTCGGGAGTTTGAGGCAGGAGGATTGCTTGAGCCCAGGAGTTTCAGGATGCTGAGAGCTACGATAGTGCCACTGCACTCCAGCCTGGGTGACAGAGTGAGTCCTTGTCTCCAAAAATTAAGTACAGGAGAAACTCAAAGGTGTTCAATTGGTGATGGTACTACCACGTAACACGACCAGTGTTTTTGACTTCTACAATGAAGAGTGTTAAGGTAGCAGCATTTGAGATTGAGGGAGCAGGAGTGCTAACATCCTGCAGGCTCAAGACAGTGCCACGCAATTGTCCTTACTTTAAATGCCAATAACATTCCCCCACTGATGATTAATTAATCCTTATATCACTAAAGATTACAGAAATATGACATATGATGGTATTATCTGGTCTCGAGGATCCAAATGGAATGCTGATGTCACATCCAGGTAGTCACAGTGTCTTTGGCTTGTGGTAGCCCTGAAAAAAGTGGTATTTTCTTGGGATAGGAACATGATAGTTTAGGCTAGATATAGCTGGAGGGAGGGAGTGCTCCCTATCAGTGGATATTTTTATATGACAAATTAACACTCTCAAGTTTGTTGACATTCATTTTTTATATTCATTATAAACAGGGTGATATGGTTTGGCTACGTGCCCACCCAAATCTCATCTTGAATTATAGTTCCCATAATCCCCATGTGTCATGGGAGGGACCTGGTAGGAGGTAATTGAATCATGGGGGCAGGTTTTTCCCATACTGTTCTTGAAGTAGTGAATAAGTCTCACAAGATCTGATAGTTTTATAAATGGGAATTCCCCTACACAAGCCCTCTCTTGCCTGCTACCATGTATGATGTGACTTTGCTCCTCATTCGCCTTCTGCCATGATGGTAAGGCCTCCCCAGCCATGTGGAACTGTAAATCAATTAAACCTCCTTTATAAATTACCCAGTCTCAATTATGTCTTTATTAGCAGCATGAGAACAGACTAATACACAGGGTTAAACTAAGAAGAATTGACTTGAATTACAGACTGGCTGTCTATCACATTGAGCATCCTCAGAGGGAAAGATGTGTAGTCAATGCTATACAAAGATTTTCTTAGAAACATTTCTAATGGAACTATTTCATATTGGAATCGCAGATTAATCAGTGAATGTTTTGTGTGTGAAAAGGAACCTCAGAGACTACCTTGAAACTACTGTCATGCTTCTGAATACTTCAATGTAGAAATACAAAGTGTGCTTCCATTTTGGTCACTCATACCATGCAAGTAAATGAATAGCTGAATACCTTTGATTTTAAATGTAATTATGACCTTTAGAAATAACAGCTGGTTTAAAAATGAGCCAAAGCGTAAGTAAAATGGGCAACGGATATACTTCAGTTCCCAAAAAACATTTATAAGAAAACGTCGTGTTTCCTTTGCAGCTTTCAGTCTTAGAGAAAAGACTTCATCATCTTATATGTGATGCGACTTTCCGGGCTCCTGACATCTTTATAGAGTTTGACTGGAATTTCCTTCTCTTGAAAATGAATGGGCATTTTCTTGCTCTCCACACTCATAAGCTTCACTCCCAGGGGGCCCAAGTTTACATAATCCTATGGTGAACAGACACAAAAAAGAATAGGAGAGGTGATTCAGCAAATTACCAGCTTTGATAGATTAGGCTTGCTTTATTACAGTTGGCCTTTATCTGACAGAGTTCATTGCCCCCTAATTGCCTGATGCTGTGTAAAACATGAAATATGAGAGCTACTATAAATGAGAAAAAAACAAAACACTCAGTAAACTTATATACCCAGTAAGGCATACACAGTAGGAAAGATCTCCTAAAAAGCAGAGAGCAAGGCTAGAAAGCTTGTCTCATAGTGGGTTAATGGGGGAGGGATGCTGGCTATAGTTAGTGCAAAACTACCTACAGTCTGTGAAAGGAAAATAAAAACATGGGACCCCAATTCACTTTGCCAAAAGGAAAAAATTAAGCTGAAAGCTGAGTCATGTAAGCAACTGCCTTTCCTTTTTTTCCTAAGCAGATACATACAGATAAAAGGTTAACTATCTCCACAGGTAGCTACTCTATGTTCACCTGATCTTTTGTAAAGTGCGAGGTGAATACATAGTTGATGGTTCCCCTACCTGCTCCTTTTCTCTTGCAATATGTGGATGACTATAACTTCCTGCTTTCCCCTCCAGCCCACTTTTCTCCTCTAAATATTGAAGGCCTCCAAGTCATCTTTGGAGACAGGCACAGACCACACGCTGTTTCTGTGATTTCGAGGTGTGTTTTTTTTGTTTTTTTTTTTCTCCCAGGTATTATCCTTAACATTGGCAAAATCAACTTCTAAATTGATTGAGACCTGTCTCAGCTACCTTTTGGTTTACAAGTCTAAGATATCAACAAACAGAATTAGAAGCCTAACTGACATGAAATCCATAGCCAACCCAAAACTGGGTGGACAGAGCTCACGCCCTACCCAATGTCCCTTCCTCCAGGAAGTCTCCCATGCCATAACTCTTGCTTTTTAATTCCTTGAACACATCACTTTAGCAAACCTCTCCCAGGTGTTGACTATATGCCAGGCCCTGTATCAAGTGCTGGGGTGCAATGATAAGCACAGACTGATCAGGGACACAGGTACAGGTGGTCTGTTTACTCTTATATGGTAATTGTTGATTTTCTTACCTGTCCTCTACAAGTCTATAAGTGATTTGGGTGCAAGGCCTGGTGTATAGGCATATTTGAGATTTCATTTCTTGCTGTTCTCTCCCTTAAATGCACAAGCATTTAACAAGGACTTGGCATGTTATGGGGTTCTCAATAAATATTTATTTGAGTTTAGAAGAATCAAATAATGAAAAAGGAAGGTGATGTCTTATTTCTCAAAATACATATAATTCTATTTAGCTTTCAAAATATGTAGTTGTGATAAATGAAAGATAGGAAAAAAGCAAGTTGATGGAGACCTACCACGTATTTCAGAATCACTGGGAAGAGGATTCTCAAGTAATACACCATGGCCATAGCAGTTTGACTACATCAAAAACTTTCATGGAAAGTAAGGTCTTTCATTCAACCAAATGGTATGCAATTTCGGGATTTTGTAGACAACTGTCCACTAGCCTGAGATCATCAAGACATCCCAGGAGTCATGATTCCAAGATACTCATGGAGGTGTTTCAGTGCTAGAGGAACTAGAACTTTAGTCTTTAAATAATCACTTGATGGCAGCAGGATTGAATTGTAGTTAGTTAAAATGGTTTGTGTTGGTTTATTCAGTTTCTTCTGCTTTCTTATATCATTTTTTCCACTACCAGACTTTAAGTTCTAGGAGAGCTTTTAAAGTACCAAGAGGGAAAATAACAAGGGATAGCTATGGAAGTAACTGGAATGTACTAGAAAGAAGTTTTAAAATTAAAAGGCTTAATATTCCAGGTTTTAATGAATGGTATATGTGCAATCTGTACTTTCCAAAGATAGCCTAATTCATATCCTATTCCAAGTTCCTTCTCTTACAATGTGATACTGACCTTCCTCCATCAAGATGTAGGAGCTATGTTCCTTCCTCTTGGATGGAACTTTGTAACTATATCAACCAGTAGAATATGATGGAAGTGACAGTGTATGATTTCCATAAAACTTTCTTTCTTTCTTTTTCTTTCTTTTTCTTTCTTTCTTTCCCTTTCTTTTCTCTTTCCTTTTCTTTTTTTCTTTCCTTTTCTTTTTCTCTTTCTTTTCTTGCTTTCTTTCTTTCTTTTTGTTTCTTTTCTTTCTCTCTCTCCTTCCTT